CATCATATACTATTTGTTCTCTAGTTATTAACATAGTCTGCATTCAAGCATAACTTTTAAATCTGATTAAAAATATACAATATCAATAAAATCACTACATATACACACTTTTATTGATTACAAATCCATACTTATGTCCATTACAACATTGCTATCAGATTTGTCTGGCGGATTTGTTGTGCTATCCTCCTCATCAAATTTCAATTTCATGCAATTAAATTTCGCTGGTGACTCTTCAATTGTTGGTAAACGTTTTGATGCTGACTTCGATGAAGATGACGACGATGATGTAGTAGTACCGCTAAAATCTCGACCACATATATCTTCAATAATCGCTTCATCATTCATTACATCTTCAATGCAAGTCTTTAGAATAGTTGTTGTCACAATGCAATCACGATTAATTGCCAAACTTTTATGAAAGTAGATAATGGCCTCTTCGAGGTTGCCCATTAGAGCATAAACAAATCCCATTGCTGTATAGGTGTGCGGGCTTTGTGGTTTGAGTAAAAGTGCCTGAATTAAGAGTAACGCATTAGTGATTTACTTTAAATATATAAAATATATAATTACATATTGATGATAAGTTAAAGCCTCCTTGTACTTCTTGCGCTTGCGGCAGCAGTGGCCCAAATTATTGAAGAGCGGTTCCCAACGCGCCGAAAGCTCCTCCTTATTCTCCTTAGCACGCGCTCTAACGATTTCTGCTGTGCGTAGAAATACTTCTTCGGCACTCTTGTAGCTGTTAGTTAGAAATATTTGTGCCTTTATGTTCAAAATTAACGCATTTAATGTAAATTGCCTTACTATTCGTATTCATATTTGATTACGCCCAACTCGTGCAATACGAAGACATCTAGCGGAGCAATTGACATGGCTTGATAGAAGAATTTCTCTGCCAGCTCGAGATTTTTCGTCAGTCCACATTCAACACCTATGTAGAGGAGAGGCAGATGACAACCGCGCATGAGTTGAGTAGCTTTGAAATAAGCAGCCATTGCCTGTTGAGTTTCATATATAAATAATATTTTCAATTACATAAAATCAATAGATGTTTACCTGATCATGCTCATTCTCCTTGGCAAAGGAGTGGCCATAAGCCAGCCACGCAGGTCCATATAAACGATCAAGTGCAGTTGCTTTGGAAAGATATCTACGTGCCGGGTCGCTCTTGCCAATCAAATCGTAATAACAACCAACTGCGTACCACGAAATGGCTTTGTCGGGATATCGATCAACTAGTTTATGCGCGACGTAGAAAAGTTCTGTGTAAAATAGTGAAATTAAGAATCATTGAATTTGGTAGTTAGTTTTACAAATTGCAACAAATTTGCAAAAGAAATTATTTTATAATTTTTTCGAAAAAGCACTTACTATTGTAATCACCAAACTCGACCAAGCAACCAATTTGTAGCGTTAAACCAGCATTATGATAGGGATCCGCTTTCAATAGTCTGGAGAAACATTAAGCATTCACCATAAGACACAATTTTTAAATACATTTTTCACTTACTCTTGTAGGATTTTATAACATTTCTTATATTCGCAATCATAGAATAGTTTCTCGGCTTCAGCAGCCATCATATCGGTGCTTTTTTGTATGCGACTTAAGCAAGTAGTTAGTGGTAGAATAGTTTTATTATCAGCATTTTTTGTATGATCACGACCGGGTGTTTCGGCGTGTGACCTATTCGATTCATTCATGAGCGACGATGCACGAGTGAGACTGATTTGCATAGAAAATGGATTGTTTTTGAGATCTACAAGCACTCTTTAATATAAAAATTCAAATTAATTTTATAAGTCTTCTACTCATAATTTTAAACAAATACTTATTTGCTGGCGACATAATTTGCGGGGTCATATATTTTGTAAGTATATTTTTATGCAGTTGTGCCTCAGATGATAAAGTTTTCTTAATTTTCTCACTTAAATCTTTAATTGTCTGATCACCTGTGGCCTATTAAAGAAGCAATGAACTTCAAAATGTAATAGATCACTCTCAATACTACTTACGGGATCGATAGATTCATAGTATTTCTTTAACTTTGACTCATACAATTTTTTGATAAACTTTGCATCAGTTTCACTCGAGTGTTGTGCAAGCGGCAAATGTTGCATCAATTCCTTTTCTAAACAAATCATCAATTTGGAATAAATGTTAATAGTAAACATGCAATACAATCACATGAAATATTACCTTCCCAGGCCATAAGCATTTCATGCTGTACTAACGCTTCAAGCGCCTCAAAGCAATATACCGACTTATGCAGCGCTTGCACATAGTAGTCCATGGCCAAACCGCGATTATCTAGAGCTTCGTAGATTTTTCCTTTCATATAACTAATTGAAGCCATAATTTCCTAAAATATAGAAGCAGCAAATGCATTTACAAATAAAAAAAGAGTATAAAGTACACTTCTAAGTCTTACATACGTTTTTATTCGCCTCCTCCGTATTTAATGTGGAGTGACAGTCCACGGCCGCGCTGTCTAATGGTTGACTTATCAATGACGATGCTAAAAACTCAATGTCTATATTATTTATAACGCTAACTGCTTCATTAAGTTCCTTTGCTTCATACAAGCTTTCCAATAATAAATTATAACTGGATATGTGTGACTTTTCCAGTTGGAAACGTCGTATAAGATGCGCCGCACGATGGTATTCTTTTAAAAGGAACATGCAATGCGCTTGACAATAAATATCTTTGGGATCATTTTGACTCAGTACACACACTTTTTCAGCCCAAAACAAGGCCGTTTGATAACGACGCTATTAGAGTAGAAAATATTTATTAAATTTTGTTAATATTTTAACTTTTGCATTGGCTTACCATGTCGATGAACATTTTAACTAACTTGCGATAGTGTGCCACATCAATAACACCATCGTCTGCATGATCATCGGGGCTGTCGTTTCGCATTTCGCTATCCCCCGTCATCAAGTTGAAGTATTTGTTAATTTATTGAGTAAAGGAAAAGACTGCAAATCTAAAATAAATTCAAACACTTTTGCGTTTAAATAACAATTTGCGCTTTCAGCAATTAACATTTGACAGCAAACAGCTGATGGGTAGCTGCCGGCAGAGAAGAAGAAGAGTATTCGATGTGCAATAGAATGGCCGATTGTTGCCATATAGAAAAAATGCAAACAATTAAAAAGTGATATTTTACTTTTGTATATATATGCATTTATTATGTATAAAATATTTATTTTTTGTATATAATATGTATTATAACGAAGAAGAAGAAAGGTTACACAATAACCAAATATAAATAAAAGCATTGTTAATGTATAAAATATTAATATCAGGTATTATTACAATTTAAATTTGTATAAATTACATAAAATTTATTTCAATTAACTATAGATATTTGGAACATAATTGGTAATATTTATACTAATTACCTTATTTTGCTTAGTATAGAGTATTATTTTAGTTTATATACTAAATTTTGTATTAAAATAAGCCGCATGGATTTGAAAAAAGCAATTTGGGGCCAAATTTAATAAATAACAGAAATTAGTAATGCAATTAAAAAATAGTATAGAATAAAATAGGGTATTTGTCACTTTCACGGTCACCTGGTATTTTGGCTGTTAAAAACCGAAAAATGCATGGATTTTCATTATTTTTTTTTTAAATATTCGTTTTCACAGCAGATTTAAGATAAAAAATTCAAATATCATCTAAATGCAAAATTTCTATTAGTTTCGTGGCTTTGGATATATTTTAAAAAATTTAAGTTTCTGTAAATAATCACTGATAGAAGGCCTCCGGCCGCGCTTCAAAAAAATAACGCTGGACGGTCCAAAAGTGGGGTGTTTATAATTCAATCGCGTCAAACAGAAGCGAAAAGGAGTGAGGAAATTTTGCATTTAGATGATATTTGAATTTTTTATCATAAATCCGCCGTAAAAACGAACGTTTAAAATAAAAAATCATGAAAATCAATACATTTTTTCGATTTTTGACATCCAAAAAACCAGGTGACCGTGAAAGTGTACAATTACATAAAATAATATATGTAAACTCTTTTAATAAATATAATATATATATTTTTATATAAAGCAGTATCCTTCAAATAATTTTTATGATTAAAGTGCAATGAATGCGTATAAAACTGGTCAGCTGTTCAAAAGGCTTTAGCTTCAAAAGTTTATTCCATACATTTTCTACAAATGTCGGTACTCAACCATTAGGAAGCATAGTTGCTACATGTCTTTAAAAAAATATTTAGCTCGTCGTAAATATGATTTACATAAAATATTATATAAATATTTATATACATATAAATATTTTTTAGTTAAATATATATATACATTTTTTAATTATTTATGTATACATATTAACCTGCAAACAACGCATTAAAAATAATTAAATTAACATATGAACTATTGTTTCTTTATCCGAAAATTCTAATTAAAAACAAATATTTATTCCCAAACTAATTATTACAAATTAAACTAAGGAAATTTTTCTAGAATTTACTGCTTTCAGTGTTTGTAGACTTCGAGTTCAACCATTTTGGTTATCTTTCGAAAAGGAACGCTTAGTTTTAATAATATATCAACATAGTTTAGCTGTTTTTGTCGTATATATATTTATTTGCTTTTAAGAATAGTTTTTCAGGTAGAAATACGTAAATATTTCCTTTTTAATCCATTTTCATTCCACGGTTTTTATAAAAATAATAAATATAAATATATATATTGTTTTTACTCCAATTTTTTTAACAAAAGAATATTTTTTCAATTTTTACTCCAAAATGATTTAATTAATTAATTAAAAAATAAAATTTTTAATTTTCAATTTTCAATCCCAAACATTGCAAAATTAGAATTAAGCATTTAAAATTTAATTTTCAACCCAAGAGCGGAATTAATGATCTAATTATTAATTACAAACACAAAAATTTCAAATTGAATTTTTGATCTCAAACAAACCAAAATTAGAATTGAAAACTTAATTTTTAATCCCAAAACTGTAAGTTTTAATTTTAAATTATTATAAGAATATTTATTAAATCTTTTTTTTCGTAATTTTATGTGTGAGTAAGTGCATACATACATACTATGTGCATACGTATGAAATTTCGAATCATATGTTGGGAAAGTCTATTGTAAATATATTTGTATGTCCTGTACTCAAACATGTTGTGTGACAAACTAAGCTCCAAGCGCAAACCTGCTCCATACAGCATCCTTTCGAACATCGGCCAACATTTTCCGCCGCCCCCACAAACGCCACATTTGCCATACACTCTCACTGGCTGGCTGACTTCGTGCATTAGCGCTCCGACTCAGATGAAACGCCTTATGGCGATAGCTATAGCCTATGATTTCAAACTCGCAGGCATCGACAGGACCGACAAGAATTTTGCCTCGCAGTTACTGATTTTAGTTGGAAGGTGAGGTTTTAATTTTTTAACCGAACGCCGAGCAAGACAAAAGTGCAAAAAGTATTTTTTATTAAATACAAACTACAAGAAAAAACCCATAAAAATCAAACAAAATAAACCTCAATAGAAGGCAACTATAATAAATCGAGTTTTTTTAAATGAAATCTTTTTTCTTTCGTTTTAAAAAATCGAAGCGTGTGATTGTGTGCCGAAAAGTAGTGTTGTTGATTGATTGCTAGCCGAGTGTTTCACACAACTAAATGTGCAATCCATATTTAGAATAAAATATTACAAAATTTTGCCAAAAACGAAAGAACAACGTAAACGTGCTCGAGAGAGGGCACAGGTGCGCGAGGCGTGTATGAAAAAGTAACGGTGCCTACGCTTCCGTTCCGCAATTCGCATATTTAACGCCATTGAATACGGAAAACGTGCTTCCAACCAGCCCCGCAAATAGCATACAGGCGGCAGCTCGGGAGCAGCCCAACGCAGCGTACGCCAATACACAGCGACCGCAGTCCCAACTTGTGCGTGCCGGCCAGGGCGTGCAGTGTTCGGCGTTATCACTAGTGGCGCATAAGCGTGTTTCCTGTGTGTCTCTGCCTGCCAGCGTAAGTGCTGCGGCCTGTGCTCGGCGGCGAGCGGCGTTTGCGGAGCCAGTGAACGCTTAAAACATATTGAGATTACGGGTATGTGCCGCAATTAAATGCTTCTAAACTCTTTATTTTCTATGTGCATAAGGGTACAAATGCTCACACGTACAAATATGCATACATGTAGGTAAAATGTTTGAACCAAGAGTCGAATTGTTTGTGTTGTTTGTAGTTTTATGAAAATCATAACAGTACTATGATTGAAAAAATCATCTGCAAATGGCGAAGGCATTAAATGAGTGAGGTAAAACAAAAAAATTGAAAGAAACTAGCAAGAATTGCAAAAAAATGTACCAAACGGGAGGGGTCGGTAGCTAACGCCTTAGCAATCGGTTTCTATTCGTCACAGCTCCTTTTCTAATATAAATTTTATACCCTTACATGGATTATGAAATATAAAATTAAAACAGCTTTTGCATATAATGTTTTTTTAAACGAATAAATTTTATTATGTCAGTTTAATTGATTTTAATATGTTTAATAAATAAATAAATTTAATTATAACATATTGTTATTACATTTTATTATTAAACTTTTTATTTCTGTCTACTTTGGTGTTTTTGTTGCAATTTAATATTTTGCTGTTTTTCATAGATTTTTGTTCAATTCTTTTTTTTTTTTTGTAAACATTCCCGATTTTTCTTTTGAACGTAGTACTGATAAGTAAAAGGTCTTAAATTACACAACTTATACAATAGAAGGCGCACGTCAACGGACCACGTTTTTAGAAATCTTTAATAATTCATTAGACAAAAATGCTGAAATCGGAGACAATATTTATTATATTTTAATGCTTGTAAATAATCTAAAATTTACGAGTGAATCTCAAAAGTTGAAAAAAAAATTCGAAGAATGATTTACGAGTATATCTGGTCAAGAGCGGTTACATCGGCAGTATACCTAAAACTATGAATTTATGACTTTACACTTCTGCTACAACAACTATAATTAAAAAAAAAACTATGCTTAGTTTAAAACATATTATATCCCAATATTATTTTAATCATTAATTTTCTCCACAAGAATATTATAAATATATATATTTTATAATAAGGCAATTAAATTTATTAAGCATACATTTTGTATACCTTAAGAGTTGTATAAATATTTAGAAAATAAATTATTTATGTAACTTTTTTTTTAATTATAGGTATTTTAGCATTATATTATATATATATTTTTTTAAAAATTAATTAAAAACTTTAATTTATCACATTTTTTGATTTACAGTGAGTTAAAGAGTCATTATTTTGTTACAAATTAAGTTATAATAATTTTTGTAGATATCAAAAGAATACTCTTAAAACTAAAATAATTTATTTTTCACGTAAATTGTATAGATCTTTATATTATTTGAACTGGAAATAATTTTAATACAGTTAAAATGTACAAAACAGTTTTATAGCTTGATAAAGATGCACCGAAAAAAGTAGATTTATTATAGATAATACCATCAAGTAATTTTGTAAATTTTTCAATAAATTTAATTTTATCTCCAATAGCAAGATATATATTTTTAAAGTTTATTGTAGAAGCGAAATCATGGATAATCTTTATTTCGTTCAATACTTACGATATCTTCAAAACAGTCGTCGAGAGTATATATTTTTTAGGTGTACTATTACCACAGTTTATTTGAAGAGTGACAACATTTTGCGTTAGAAAAACTAAGTTACTCAACTTCTCTTTAAAGTTAAATGTTGCAATAAAAAAATTTCAGTATTTTTCCCATCAATAAAGTAGAGATATAATTTTATAAAATTATTTACTTACTTCAATCTATTAATATTATTTGGCATCACGTGGCAATCTTCATAGTCATTATTACAAACATTTTTATATGCATCCTTTAGTATGAAAACTATTAAAAAAGCTATTATTACTTTTTTTGTTCTACATAGCGCTTAATTCTTGTGCTCAACAAAACATATTTGTCCTCAGTGATAAGGATGAGTACAGATGATATAATTACTTATAATTACTTAATTTTAAAAATACCTCTTTCCTAAGACAACAAATATAATCTGAGGAGACCTGAGTGTGACCTCCAACTCGATTTGTAATTGTGTTCAATAAGTTTTGCCGATAGCTAATATCCCACTACAGGAGTTTTTTGCCTAAGTGTGATCCCCGCCATGCTGAGGGATCATCCGCCTAATTAAATCTAACCCAACCTGACTTCGAGCTTGGAGTTATACTAAACTAACCTAGCTCTTGACCAAGAGATTGTACCTGAGTTAAAGTACGCTGCTTTAATATATTTACAATATTACAATATTTTTTTATTTTCTCTAATGTATAAAGAGTTTTAACCAAATCGATTTAGTTCCTTCTGTCTGTAAGGTAATTTAAAGCTTTCAAAACTTTATGATCTCACGGTAATAATAGTGCAATAAAGCATTGAGAGCAATGAGAGAAAATTTTTTATATAGTTATGCACGATAACTCCTTATTTTTTCGTTTTTTATTTATCGATAATTATGATTATTATATAATATTCAGTTGTCAAAGCAAACAATTGTTAATTAAAAAAAGAATGTTGAACTATACAATATTTATATCGAAGTTCGCTTCCATGCGTGAATGGTATACAACTTGTGTCGGAGCAAGGCAGGAATTTTCGTTTTTAATACCCTAAACAGAGTGTATTAAGTTTGCCACGTAGGGTGTAAACAGCCAGAAGGAACCCATAAAATATATATATATAGGTGAATAAATGTTTATGATAAATGACCGTGTGCCCGTCCTTTTGCCTGTATATACGCTAACTCCTCATTCAGCTTGAGAGATATCGATCTAACGAGAAGCTGCTCATTTGTCGGAACCGGCGATATCGGACTACTATAACACATATGTATATACAAGCTGATCGAATTTTTTTGTTTGACAATATATCTTCAAGAAATTTCACACAGATTATTGTTCAAGTAGCGCAAAAATCTTCGAATATGTTGTTTAGATCGGATGCTATAGTAATAGTAGCAATAGCTGTCGATCAAATGGAAGTTCTTGTATCGGAAAATATTTTTTATTTGACAACATCTTAACGAATTCAGATTATTGTCTAAGGAATCGCTCCCAACTCCGAGTATATTATTTAGAACGGACCACTATATAATATAGATACCATACCGTTCCCACGACAGTCGGGTCTACGTAACCGGAATGGACCCGGATTTATTCCGGCCAAGGACTGTCAACTCGGCAGAATTCTGCCGCTACAACAACAACAACAACATAGCTACCATACTAACTGATCGATCTAAATAAAATTCTTGTACGGAAAAAGTTTGTATGTGTGAAATGTATTTTTTTTCTCAATTGCATTTACATTAAAAAAGCTCGATTTAAGTTGACCTGTTATTAGTTAATAAGCGTAGCAATAAAATTATAATGATATTTTAGAAAATCACAGCCTACGCTAGCCGTTTGTAGGCTATAGAAATTCCATAAAAACGAAGTTCAAATTTATTATAACGCATACACCCTTGTACTTGCCTTCATAAGGCACCGCTCGTGCGCCACGTGCCCCGCAAACGCCAAACCCGCGCTTAGCGTAACACATTAACACACAACGTATGACTTGACAATGAGAGAGCCATTCAAAGTAACTCCCCCAAACTCACTCTTCCGTTTGGCGTGTCCTCAGCATTCTCGGCTGACTGTTGGCCAACAGTATGTGTGTATGTATGTGAACTTGTAAGTATATGTGTCTATAGATGCATAAGTGTAGTTGTGCACACACACAGGCGCCAAACATTTGCCGGCTTTCAGAGCACGTCTTTTCACATCCCAGCTGTTGCTACACAATGTTATAGAGCAGGCCAATACACACACAACCACACGCATAGACATAGAGGGGCTTCGTGACACTTGCGCGCCCCATTGCACTCTATTCACAACGACAAACGTAAACTAAAATCCCACTAACTAACGCCCCTCTTTTACACACTTCACCACTCAGCGCTCATCACACTATCATTCAAGCTGCGCGATATATAATATGTACGTATGTATGTATGCGCCTTTACCGCAGCAAAAGTTTGTAGCCCAACAAGGTTGCTAGTTTCTGTATATACGTGTATCTCTGTATGTGTCAAAGGTTTGCACTGGGGAGAGCTTCTTTTTCTTTGTTTTTTTTTAAGTGGCGTGAGAGTAGGAGACGCGCACGGGCACGGTTACGCGACTTCACGCAATTTTACTAGCGAACATGCTCCATTATATATTCTACGAGTATTTTATGCCATACTATTTGCATCTGCTTTACGCTATTCCAATCTGCGGCAACTATGACTGCTAATGCTATTGCTCCTGCTGCTGCTGTTGCTATTGCTGCTGCCGCCTTTGCCGCTACTGATGTTAGAATTGTGTGGATGTAAAATTTTGTAGCTGTTATTGCTGCTGCTTGAAATTTTTGTATATATGTATGTAGTATATATATATGTGTGTGAAGCTTTTTTTTCGCTGCGTTTTGCTCATTTCCTGCTGATTTATAGTTCTAATAATAGGTTCACTCAACGCAACTTACCCAAACGAAAGGATAATGCGCACACAAACCCACATACAGATGTACATACACATATAAATATATAGTCACTAGCTCGCAAGGCAGGTTGTTCCTTACATTTACATATGTATATACACACATTAGTGAGCTTTAAGCCTCGCATTCATTCGCTTTTTGGTACATGTATGTATGTATACTTGTCGTTGTTTGCTTTCTAGCACTTTGCCTGCTCGTAAACACACACGCAAGCCTTTTGCATATTCACTATTCGCACTCACCAAAATCAATTTTAAATTGGGGTACAAATGAATATTCAAAAAATTCGAAAAAAATAATAAATGCGCGAAATTTTGTTTTCGCCACAACTAAAAAGCATTTAACTGGCACATTTCCTAATGACTCTTACATTGCGGTGGCCAAAAAGCAGCATTGTAAATGGGGAAATTGCTTCGCAGCGCGCACTCACAAACACACACACACAACCCAAGCACTTACACTAACACTTACTTACGCTCATACCGCGAGCGAT